CAGCCGACCGGGGATGCCCGCTCGGTAGGGACTAGGAAACAGACGGAGAAAGTAAGGCAGGGAACTCAAAGTCAACTGCAATACTGAGGACCATACCCTATACACCTACAGGACAGTACCCTGCCACCTCCCTAGCATGACAGAGCCCAAGCAGTGTTGTAGGCGCCGATATTTTCCCCTACAGTGTTGTGGGCGCCATCAACTCCCATACCAGACAAATACGGTAAGGCTCCCCCACGTGCCTCTGAGGCATCGACAGTGTTGTGGGCGTCGGCATTAACCGTAGCAGGAAAACACGGTAAAACCCCTCACATGCCTCTGGCATCAACAGTATAGCAGGTACCGACATCGACCATACCTAAAGAAGACGACGCAACCTCCCACGTGCATCTGACATTCAACAGTGTTGTGGGCGCCTGCCATCATCTTGTACCCACCAGCGTGGATAGCAAGACTTAGCGGCGAACATACTCCCCCTCTCGCTTGTAAAGCCATCCCCTTCATCTATAAAAGGGGATGCGCTCTCTTCAACAGATAGGTTGATTCAGATCAATCAAGTTCACTAGTACACAAGAGCAGAACCACTAGGTTCAAACCACGAGCACACGCTCGAACACTTAGCATATAGCGGAGCTCCCGTTGCTCTCGGTCCCTCTGACCAGAGTCCGACCGGACCTCTTGTACCCCCCATCTTTCTCCTTCTCGTTTGTAACCCCACTGCAAACTTCGAGCACCTGGGCTCAGGAATAAAGTCACCGATCGACTCAAACTGGACGTAGGGCACGTTGCCTGAACCAGTATAACCCTATGTCATTGAGTGCTAGGCCACCTCCAATCACAACGTACGATAAAACTACAAATATTTATGTGTTGGTCACTTTCTGCACCGACAGGCAGATAAGTCCAAGTTTGGAGTTGTATTTTGACACGGTTTGCAAGAAATTTTGGTCTCCCAAGGAATAAGACCATCTCACTCTGTATATATATAAAATGCCACGACAGATTGAGTAGAAGAAAATCACATGAATCAATCTACAATTTTACTTTTCAACATGCCTTCTCCTTTGCATTGCCCTATTTTATGGCCCCTAATCGTGTTCTCCCTTTGATCTAACGATCAGAGATAGCACGGCTTGGATACCTTGTATTTCAAGATGCAGGGAGTAATTGAGAAGTAAAATATGCAAATAAAGAGTAGTCCATATCAAGTAGAGTCAATAAATTGCAAATAAAGCATATTATAAATGATGATTAAAATAGTATTCTGATTCATATGTGGATTGGAAAGCAAACTATCTAAATTCCCATTAATATTCGAAAGCAAATGATACATAAAGAACCCCTTGAAACAATCTAATTAGCAACTAATACTCGAGATGTAACTAATTAAAGGAAAAACAATGTTTTGATTCTCACATTGATTAGAAGCCAAAAAAATCTGCACAAAGAGTTCATATCAAATACACTTAATCAATAGCTTTTTTTTTTTGCGAACAATCAATAGCTAAATTTGGAATATAAAGTTCATGATAAAATGATGTTGCAATTTGTACTTGTATTTGAAATACAAATCATCTAAATAAATTGCCAAGGGCAAATATAACTAATTACTGTCTTTATTTCTGAATAAAAATAAGAAAAATATTTCACCCAAAAATCATAATTTTCTACTCCCTCCATCCCAAATTATAAGCCCCTATTTTTTCTAGACACATAGCTTTTACTATATATTTAAATATAATGTATATCTAGGTGTATAACAAAAGTTATGTACATCAAAGAATGAATCGGAGGAGTAAATCAATTAGGTGGCATGCCATTCTAGTTCATTCTATTATTAAGTTTTGGATCGATCTTCCAACATGGGAGAAGACTTGGCTCCCTAGCTAATGATGAAACTCAACCGAGAGATATAGACAGAGAGCCACTAGCGTTTGCTTGTTCGTCCTGAATGTTCCTCCACGTCACATATCGCTAGCTGCCCGTACGCACGCACGCAGGGGCGATATATATAGCAACAAAGTAGTAACAGGGGAAGTGGGTGCGATGTACTTATATAGCAACAAAGTAGTAGCAGGGGAAGTGGGTGTGTGGCGTCGTCGTCGTCCCAAAGCATGAACAGGGTAATGGATGGATCGACTGATTTGTTTCCTCCGGCGATCGATCGGTCGACGAGGGACAGGTCCATTGCCTGCCATCGGTGGCCACCAGCTAGAGCTAGAGCTTTCGCGTTCGATCGCGTCGTCGTCACGATCAGATCCGAGCACTCGCGGTGGTCGGGCCGGAACAGAGACGCCGTATGCGCGGTACGCAGCCGGCCGGGCCCCGGCACCCCACGCGCGCGTCCAGACAAGGCGGAAGGCCCCCGCCGGCGTACGGCCGGGCGGTACGGGTGCACAGGAGTAGAGGACGGAAAGGCCCTGGCGCGGCCTGCGCCGGTGACCGAAATGGGATATAACGGGTACTCCATTACGGCCTAGTTTAAATCAAAGGCGTAAAGTTTGAGAGTGTTATGTGATGATGTCGTATGGATGTTTAGATATTTAATAAAAAAATAAATTACAAAATACGTCAGTAATCCGCGAGGCGAATTTATTAAGTAGAATTAATCCGTCATTAGCACATGTGTTACCGTAGCACCATATTATAAAATCATGAACTAATTAGATTTAAAAGATTCGTTTCACAAATTAATCATAAACTGTATAATTAGTTATTTTTAATATATATTTAATACTCAATACACGTACGTGTCAACATTCGATGGGATTGAGACTGAGCAACTCAGCAAGGCGGCCACTGCTCACGCTTGCACGGACGTCAGATATGATCCGCATCGATCGATATGATCTTGGGCTTCCCCACCCGGCCACGGGCCCCCCACCACGCCATGGATCGACGAGAGGTAGTAGCTGCTGATCGTTTTGGCGCCAAATCTTGGCTTACATGCATGCATAGTATGCTGCTTCTGGGCCAGGCCCGTCGTCAGTGTCAGTGAAATGATACGCACTGCTATAGCTAGTGGTGTGCTCGATCGATTTCGTCGTTCAACACGTACTACGGTGCAGAATTGATACATGGCATCCAGATCTAGAGATGATTATATGTCACGTACGGCCAGCCTGTATATAAACTAGAAACTAAACACCGTTTATACTGGAATGTTATGAAAGAAAAATACTATTTTAGCTAAAAAAATAAGCCAAACAAACTCAATTTCAGCTCAGCCGAACAAGCTCTATCTAACTTGAAGCCCAGCTAGCAATCATGCGGTCAATCTCCTACAAGACACTGTAGCAATAGCTAGTGGGCAGGCAGCTGCGGTTACGGCTGGAAATAGTCCAGCCAATGCAAAAAGGCAGTTTGAGGTCTAACCTAGTGATTAAATAAATAGACTAGACCTCAGCCAGCCAAGCAACAACGGGAGAAGCAGAGTGACGTAGGTGGGTAAAATTTATTTTACCACATCATAATTTCCTAAATTAATTATGTGCATGCCATTCTAGTTCATTCTACGCTGCCCCCGTATGCATGCATGCACGCACTTACGTAAGGATATACTCTCTTTCTGTTTAAATTATATAAGATGTCTTAAATTTTATAGATATATTATTTTTATTATGTATCTATACATATTTTGTATATTAAAACGTCTTATAGTTTGGAAAGACAGGATCATGTACCAACAAATTTAGTAACAGGGAAGTGGGTGTGGGGGCGTCCTCCTAATGCATGAACAGGGTGATGGATGGATCGACTGATTTGTTTCGTCTGGCGCTCGATCGGTCGACGATGGACGGGCCCATTGCCATCGGTGGCCACCAGCTTTCGCGTTCGCGTCGTCGTCGTCATCAGATCCGAGCACTTGCGGTGGTCGGGCCGGCGCAGAGACGCCGTACGCGCGCGGCCGGCAGCCGGGCCCCGGCGCCCCGCGCGCGAGTCCAGACAAGGCTGAATGGCCCTGGCGCCGGCGTACGGATGGTACGGCTGCACAGGAGGAGAGGACGGAAAGGGCCCGACACGGCCTGCGCCGGTGACCGAAATGGGACATATATACGCCACTGCTCACGCTTGCACGTACGTCAGATATGATCCGCATCGACCGATCGATCATGGGGTTCCCCACCTCACGCTTGCGAGTTTGAGAACGCATGTAACAAATTGGACACAATAATTATTTGAAAATAGTAGCAACAGCATATTAAAATATAGACTGTCCATATAGTAATTTCATCACAACATATAAAGATGAAGTCCAAATATTCAGCACATTCATTCATAGCATCCAGGCTACATGTAAATGGTGTCCAAATGTTTCGACATCAATACATTCAAAAGCATTACCATCTCATCTCAGCAGTTCATGAATTTCACTACTTCAATTTCCCTCTCCTCAGTAATCATGGGGGTGCAGAGCAGCGAAGGCCAGGTGATGTTCTCCTCCATCGCCTTGCTGCAACAGAGGTTCAGTGAGTTGGAGAGGACCAGGGAGAAGCGGGAGGAGAGGCTTCTCCACGTGCTCGCCCCCCCCCCTGCGGCCACCGCCTCCCCGAGGGAGATGCCCGTGAAGTGGTTCTTCCACCCGGAGCTGCTCTACCCGTGCAGGCCGCTGCGTGACACCACTGCCGCTGTCGCCGCCGCTCCTTATTCCCGGCCATGCCAACCACTGTGTGAGAATGTAAAAGCTTCCAGCTCCACGGCGATAGCAACCCCATCGCGGTGGAGCTGTGGCCCAGTAAGACCTACAACTACAAACATGTCTCTGGTGAAGTCGACGTCGACACCTCGCTGAACCTCTAGACTGCTGCTGCTACTCCTACTACTGAAAAATGTTGCAATGCCTTAAACTGTTGTTAACCTCTTGGTGTTGCTCTCGCAGTTTATTTGGTAGCCTACTACTATGTTCTTCTCTTCTTCTGTTGTAACAAGGGGTATTAGGAGGGTTGACGGTGTGCTGTAATTATTACCAGTAGTAGGATGGTCTTGGAGTTCCTTTATTGTCACCTCTTGGCACTAGAACTGCTTGCATCTTCCAACAAAGCACTGTTATCATCCGAGTACGAGAGTACCTCTGCAGGGCAGCCATTCTCTGTTATACCTGGATACTCATCACCAGAGGAATCATCAGAGCCCTTCTTCTTCCGTTTGACGATCTTCTTGGAGATCAGGCGGTTCACACCCTTGTTGTCAACACCAACACATTCACTGCTTATTGGCTTAAATAGGACTTTGCCCACCTTCCTTGCATTAGCTTCCACTATCTGTGAGCAAGAGAGGCCAGGTAAAGGTAGTAAAAACAACTACAGAAGATTATTTAATTCTGCAACAAAGAATGAAATTTTGGGTGAATTGTGAAACAGAAAATATGGATTTCTAGGGCTGCACCAATTCAATAAAGTGTAACAAAGACTTCGGGAAAATGGGAGTTGCACAACTAATAAAGGGCTGCACCAACTAATAAAGGGACTGCAGATTTGAACTATAGTATTTTCCCAGCCTAGGAGAGCAGCAGCACAAAAAGCACCAAGTATAAAAAAATAGATAGGTCCAACATCACAACATACCCATGGACACCGAAACTGAACTATTATAATTTCCTGTAAAGAGATTCCTGTAAAATATCTCAATAGAAGCAGTAATGCGATGAAGCATTGAAATATCAATTAGAAAGTGAAAATGAAAGGCAGGAACTGTTGATTAGATTTTCCACTGCCATTTTTGTCAGAGGTAGCAGCTGGTCACCATATTGCCAAAAGAATAATTTTATCAGGCGTAGCATATCATCCAACAAAATAGTGAATAAATTTTAAGTATGACATGAATCTGAATTTTCTGAACGTAGCAATCTGTATACTATGCACTAAAAAATTCGTTGTTACAAATGTGGCATGAAGCAAGTCACAAACCTCTAAATCAAGATTCTTACTCCTCACTCAGTTTTGTCGATGCAATCAAATGGATTGCGCAGCTACGTGGAGAAGTGAAACCACATAGCAACAGTTCTGAAATCTGAGCCAAAAATAGCAGCCAAAGAAAAGAACAAATGAACCTCAGCAAATAAGAAAGCCTCAGCCCACTGCATATGCACAAAGCCTCATTTATAGGGAAAATGTAATTCATCATAGCATAATTCCCAAAGCCTCAGCAAATAAGAAAGTAAATAAGAATCACAATATAATTCCCATGCCTTAGTTGAAAAGGAATCAAATAATCATCGCAGCATACCTTTTCCAAAACATCATTGGCAGTAACAAGTATGCTCAAATTAACTGACGTGATATCATTGACAAGTATGCAATGTTGACTTCTAGTGAGAGAGGAAACAAGGGGATCTATTCATTTTCTTTTACCACAACAGGAGCACTTGGAAGCCAGACATTGAGTAGATCATGGGGAAAAGAATGAGGGGAAGCACATCTGTGGTCCTGCACACCCAAAGAACAGATTTTAACCTTGGGAATCTAGGGAATAAGTGAACAAGCAAGCATCAATCGACATGGCAGAGGATAGGAGGAAACTGAAAGAGAAGAGAAATCACCGGCAGCGGGGGATGGAGTCATCGGTCCGCTGGCGGTGTTCTTGATGTAGGATATCTGAGCGTTCTTGGCCCGCTGGCGGTGCACCCAACGACCCCACGGGCCGCCGTAGCCTGCTGCCGCCCACGCCCTGCTTCCCCACGCGATGTCGCAGCCTCCTTGCACCTAGCGTCCGCCGCGGCCTGCGGCCCCATGCGCCGCCGAAGACTACTGCTCACGCCGCGCCCTCACGCACCCACCAGTCCGCCGCCGCCACGCCCGCGCCACGTGCTCGGGCCTCCTTGCGGATCCGGGGGAGGGGCGCCGCCGGTGAGGGAGGGGGCGGCGGATCCGGGGAGGGCGCCGCCGGTCAAGGAGGGGAGGGGAGGGGCGGTAGATCCGGGGGAGGGGCGCCATCAGTGAGGGAGGGGAGGGGCGGGGTGGTGGATCCGGGGGAGGGGTGCCATCGGTGAGGGAGGGAAGGGGCGGGGCGGCAGATCCGGGGGAGGGGCGCCGCCGGTGAGGGAGGGGACGGGGAAGAGAGGGAGGGGGGGGCCGGGCCGGCCGGGAGGGAGGAGGGGGGCCGGCCGCGGTGGGAGGAGGAGGCGCGCCGCACGCCGCCACCGGCCGGATCCGGAGAGAGGAGGGCGGATCCCGGCCGGGTGAAGAAGGGGGGGGAGGGTACCACGGGGAAGAAGAAGGGGGACGAGAGGGCACCATGGGGAGAAGAGAAGGGTGAGGGAGGGCCACCGCCACACACGCACCACCACCACCACCACCACCACCACCACCACCGATCAGAGATCCGGGAGGGGAGGACCGGATCTGGGTGAAGAAGGAGGAGGGGAGGGGGAGGCCGCCCGCCGGGATGAAGAAGGGGAGGGCGGGCGCCGGGGGGGGAGGAGGCGCGCTGGGGCCGGGTGAAGAAGGGGAAGGGGATGGGCGGCCGCCCGTCGGGGAAGAAGAAGGCGGCGGGGAGGGCGTGCGTGCGTGGGCAAGGCAAGCGCAATGCAGCGTGTGCGTGGTGCGTGAGGAGAGCCGAGTAGGCGAGTCCGCGAGTGCGTGCGTGCGTGGGTGTTTGGGGGCGGCGGCTGGCGGGTTAGGGTTAGGGTTAGGACTTCTTTGTTTTTTTATTTATCCTATGCGTGTATATATATTTTTTCTGTGCGTGCATATTTTTTTCTGTGCATTTTTAAAGAACCGACAGAATAAATTGTATTTTTCTGTGAGTGCTGATTTTTCCATGTGTGTATTGTCACGCATAGAAAAATCTTACAATTATTCTATGGGTTTTCGTATTTTTCTGTCGGGATATTTTGGAACCGACAGAATAATCGTAATTTTTCTGTGCGTACCAAAAAAACGCATAGAAAAATTCGTCACCCACAGGGCAATTCGTTTCCAGTAGTGGCAGCAGATTTCATCGCTACCGACATACTCTCTCCCTCCCTCCCAATAAGAATTCAATTCTAGCTCCTAAGTCTTGTCCTATAAAATAAAACAATTTTAGCTAGTATATACATATAGTTGTATAGTGAGTCCCGCATGTAGCACTGTCCCCATCTATTTTCATCCACAGCAAGCACCATGGGCTCGGTGCAGGCTAGTAGGCTCTATGGGTGGGGAGAAGGCGAGCCAGGGGCGGTGCCATGGGAGGCCTAGGGTGTGGAAGGCGGCAGCCGATGTTTCAATTAGCTGGGGAGAAGTATATGAGAAGAAGGGATTGGGGGTGGGGGTTGTTTGACGACTGAAACCCACATGATGGATCTTGACAGATATGTTATCTCATCCTTTCAACCAAACAACAAAACATAAATAGTTCTATCCTCTAATTAAACATAGACATTAATTAACTAGCGTATCCCCCTAAAAATTAGGGATGGATTCATCCCATTCTACCTCTCTCCAACCAAATGGACCCTAAGGAGCTAGCTAGAGCTAGCACGTATAATATGTAATGTATATATGGTATGATTGGTTGCCTGTATATATTAGCATGTATACAACCTTGTGTAGTGTAGTTTACTCATGTTTGGTTGTCTGTATAGGCTATTATGTAGGCTTGCACATTGGTCAATGTGCACATAAAAAAAAATTCTCATCGTCCATACCTCCACAAAGCATAAGACCACAACTAGAACATAGAGTTGACTATATGCAAGGAAATGTAAACAAGAACATGGAGTTGACTATATGCAAGGTGCAAAACTACCAAACGCCAAACAACCAAACACAATATGGGCTTAGGTTATATGCATAGGGTCTTGATAAGACTAATGCAAATCAACCAATAGACTCAACACACAAACACACACACAAACACACACACACACACACACACACACATGTGCACTATATATATATATATATATATATATATATATATATATATATATATATATATATATATATATAGACTATATATAAATCATATATATATAGACTCATATATATATTCAAGACCCGACCCTCCAGTTGCGCCTCGCTTGGGCGCCGGTTGTTCGATTCTTCAGCCATACTCGAACCATGGGCCGGTTTTTCTAGCGTGCGCCTCTACGATATGCTTTCTGTTGGTTTTACTTTTTTTAAAAAAAATCTGACGTGGTTGTTATCCAGCCGGTTTTTTCTGTTTTTTTTAATTCTGACGTGATTGTTGTCTAACTAGCTTTCCCTTTTTAAAATTTCTGACTAGGTAGATCGGGATTTGTTGACAAGCAATATAGATATCCTATTTAGGTATGAAGGGGAATTCATTTCGTGGAGACCGGAAAAAATGAATTTGCAGTTAGAAATATAGAAAAGATTAGATAACAAAGGTATTGAAAAGTGTGACTATAGTTATTGTGGTTCAATATTTGTTTGTTCGTATACATGGCTGTAGGGATAAGGGCGTTATTCTATGATGAAAGGCACTATACAAGATTTGTTAAATTATTGTGTCATGCAGAAAGGGCGATAAAAAATCATACTTTTTTGCAAGCTATGTTTTTTTCAACATCAACACACACAGTTGTTGCTCAGACACATACCCACTAAGTGGTATGTAAAAAAATCATGCCTGGTATTTCTCTCAGTCGACCTTCATCCTGTTGTAGCCACAACGAAAATGTGAGTGGTTTTGTAGTTTAATTTGAAAGCATCATAGAATAACTCAATTTGCATGGAAAATAAGCCTGAAAAACAAATGTCTGATCAAAGATATTTAGAGTGCAGTGTAGCTAGAGGTGGGTGCTTTGATGGAGAACGCCTAGGATTTGCACATAGAACCTAAGAAAGAACAAAAGAGAATAAATAACACTGATAAAAATATTAGCTCTAACCATAAAGCATGATCAAAGATATTTAGAGCGGACTTTAAAACAACATGTTGACTTCTGGCATCTGACAAAAGTTGATCATCATTGAAGTTTGTTGAACTAAGCTAGAAGATAGCAAACACTAACATTTGATATCATAAAAATGCATACAAACAGATAATGCTGCAGGAGCGCGTTTGATAATTATTGTCATTTCTCAATTTTATAACCTCGAGAAATTGATGTAAGAAATTAAGAAATGAACACATTAAGCAAAAGAGATTTGATAAATTGGAGAGATCACTTTCAATCACAGACCATCCGGCATCAGCAAGCCCTTTGATGGCTTCTTTAAACCTCTGAAAAGTACAATTGTGACTAAAGAAGATTTATAATAACAATCAGGAATCTATCTTTATTGTTCAGGAACCATGAAAATTATGATAGAAAAAAATCAGAATTGAAAGCCAAACTAGTCACCAATTTGACACACATTCATCCATGTTTTAAAATTTGGATGCTAGATTCATTCATAGTATGGGTGTGAACATCAGTTTAAGTCATCTTGATTGAGGTTCATGTCAGGTAGCAATTTCAACATTACAAGACATACTAGTGCTAGATAGCAATAAAAAATCTTCAACATATCTGTCCCGACATGTGTGAACTAATCAGCTCAAAAGGAAATAGAAAAGGAAGATCATGTTGTGGTGCCACATGTGAGTGGAAAAATCTTATCAACCTGCAATCGCGTTGTTGATAAAGTTGGGGTAAATCCAGCGAACCATGAAACATATAAGTATGAGCAGTTTACAAATGGTCTTGCAGGAAACAAAGTGGCATGCATAATAGGATACGAAAAATTTAGAATACATGAGCATATGAACAACAATGATCAGCTTTGGGGTTCAAGAGCATATGAGCATCAGGTGCT